GGAGGGGGAGGGGGAGGAATGTGGGCACAGGCAATCTGGGCGTGACTTTCTTTTCCACTATGGAAATTGACTTTCCAAACTGAAGAAAAGCTCCAGGCTGGGCTCATTAGCGAGGCTTCTAGCCATCCCTTCAGATCTCTTGATGGTTAGATCCGTGTGCGCCTGGCCTTCCTCGGGGGAGGCCGGCGGCTGAAGGGTGACCCCGGGCCCCGCTGTGCCCACCAGGTCAGCCGGGTGGCCTCGTCCCCGCTGAGCTCATCCTCCGGCTGAGATGCCGGCGCTGCCCACGCTGCCCACGCCGACTCTGTGGCCCGACTCCCGCCCGGCCCAATTAGAAGCTCCCCTCGGCTGGTTTGTACCCGGCCCGGAGTGAATCACTGCATGTCATTCCCCAGAAATAATAGCGTCGGGAGGAGACCAGGAGGAAGGGCTTCCCAGACCTCGTAAACCTCCGCCTGCAGAGCGAGAGCCCACAAACCACCCAGCACAGGGAGCCTGGCCGCAGACGCCCGTAAATAACTCCCCGTGGGGTGCTGGGTGTCTTTCCTGATAGAAGGAGCCCTGTTTTGAAGTGGGAACTCAAGTATGGCATCCAATTATTTCCACATTCTCCTTATTTATACCCCAGCGTTCCCCGGGAGGGAGCACCGGGGGCCACAGCACACAGGCAGAATGCATGAGTTACGTTGGGTTGTGGAGATGGGGTGAGGGGAGGGGAGACGGCTTGGGGGGAAGTCAGGGCCGGGATGAGGGGCTCAGGGTTGGTTTTCGTCTTCCAGAACTATCAGGCAGGGCTGGGCATATAGCTTAGGGTCTGGGGTGACGGGTCCTGGCCTCCAGCCCCAGCATTGCCCAAACTAACCCCCCCCCGTCTTGAGCAGCTAGCCCTGATTCATAGCTGAAGCCCAGGACTCTCATTATGGGGGGGGGTTCCACACATCCTGTGGCTTTTGCAAACCACCCGGGTTTCACAGTCCTTCTGTTCAACCCCTCTCATGGCCCTGTCTGTCTCCCTAGTCATTCCTTCCCAGGGTATTGGGGTGGTGGTGGGCGGTGGGGTGGTTGTGGGTGGTGGGTAGGCAGTGGGGTGGTGGTGGGTGGGTGGCGGTGGGCGGTGGGCGGTGGGCGGTGGGCGGTGGGCGGTGGGCGGTGGGCGGTGGGGTGACCATGGGTGGGCGGTGGGAGCGGGCAGTGCGGCGTTCACGCGGACCTCCTTCGCCCAGCGCTGGGCTCTGGCTCTTCCCTGTCTGCTCCTGGCTTGCCAGGCAGTGTGTGTTTCTCTCTGTGTCACCTGTGGGTGTTCCATTTCTTTCCTGTTTTCTTTTTGCTTTTGTCGGTCATGGAGCTTGAACCCTAGGCCTGGGCACTGTCCCTCAGCTCAAGGCTAGCACTCTACCTCTTGAGCCACAGCACCACTTATGGCTTTCTGGTGGTTTATTGGAGAGAAGAGTCTCCTGGACTTTCCTGCCTTGGCTGGCTTTGAACTGCGATCCTCAGATCTCAGCCTCCTGAGTAGCTAGGGTGACAGGCGTGAGCCACCGGCACCTGGCTGGGCCCTACGTTTCTTTAT